AGCGAACTGTACCATTCTGTTCATGGTGCCATGTCATTATCGGTGTGTGTGAAGCCTTTATATTATTTCACTTTACTTTTCCCTGCATCTCCTTTTCTGACACCTGTTACCCTCCCCCTTCCCACAGGTATATAATCCAATGTGTTTGCTACTTTAGCATAGTGGTTAAAAGCCTGAATGGCACAGCCAGTCTGCCTGGGTTTGAATCTCAGCTCTACCACTTATAACCTGTGTGGCCTTGGATAAGTTAATTTATTTTGGTGTGCCTCAGTTTCCTCTTGTAAAATGGGACTAATAGTAATACATACTGCATGAAATATTTGTGAGGATTAAATGAGTTAATATAAAAACATTTAGAGTAGTTCTAGTTCAAATAGTAAGCTATTTTATATTTATGGACATGTTATTACTGTAGATCTATTTCTGGTTATTACTATAGATCTATTTCTGGTTTTCAAAACTGAATCTTGTATTTTTAAGATCCTTGCATGTTGGTATATATAATTCTAGTTTTGTGCATAGAATTTCTTAGCATCTCACATGTATTTATCCTCCCAGTGATGAACACCAAAAGCCTCCAATCTAACCATTGCTACCACCACTGGGATAAACATTCCCTTCAATTAGTGGTTCTCAAACTTCAGTGTGCCCCAGAATCCCCTAGAGGGCTTGTTAAAACAGATTGCTTGGCCCCACCCCCTAGTAGGTCTGGGATGGAGCCCAGGAATTTGCATTTCTAACAAGATGCTGATGCATTTCTAACAAGATGCTGATGGTCCAGGCACCACACTTGGAGAACCATTGTTGTAAATGTTCCTGTAAAAAGCCTGGGCCAAGTTATTCTGGAGTATATGCCTGAGAGGGGGATGGCTGGATCTCATGGTGTGTACGCATTTAATGCTATTGAGTTGCCCTCCAAAATGGTACCCCAATCTACACCCGCTTTGACGTTTGAAGGATGCTCCCTATATCCTAGTCAAACATTATAATGTCTAATCTTCTAATTTTTTCCAATCTGAGGGTCATAAAATAATTTTATAAGCTTTTCTCTGGTTAGTAGCCAGGTAGAGCATCATTTCACATACTTCTTAGGTATTTGGGCTTCCTCTTTTGGGAATTTCCTTTTTGTATCCTTTGCTGTTATTTTTGTTCCCCCATCTTCTTTTTCTTTTTAATTTGAAAAAGTTCCTTTATATCTTATATATTAATTGATTTTTGGTTTGTGACCTAGAAATACTTTCTCCAGTCTTTCAACTTATTCTATGTAGCACAGAAATGCTTATAATTTAACTGTAGTCAATCCGTTTATTTCTTTACCTCATGTTTTGTTTGTTCATTTTGAGCTTTTATCTTCTGCTATTTTTTAATTATTTTCACTTTGTTTTACTTTTCATATTAAATCTTTAATCCATCTGAATTCCCATTTTGTATTTGCTGAAGGGATCCAACTTCCATTTAGTGACCATCCTCTTATTGGTTCTAATCCCAATGCCTTCTATTGAACACTTTACTCTTTCTCCCACTGGTTGGTGGTCCCTCCTTAGCCATAAACCAAGTATCTATATAAACATGGGTCTATTTTTAAGGCCTTGGTGAATTTCTCCATTCTTATATTAGTACAGCACTGTTTGGGGTAGTGTTATATTTTGTAATATGTCATTTTAATTGGAATTGCATTGAATTCTAGATTAATTTGGAGAAAAATTAAAATCTTTAAAAACTTGTTGCTCATCCATTTGTTGGTGATTTTCCTATTTATTCAAATCTTTCTTTGTGTCTGTCTTAGGCTGGGTTCTCTAGAGAAGCAAAACCAGTAAAGTGTATAAACATATATATAGATAGAGATTATATCAAGGAAACAGCTCACGCGACTGTAGAGGCTAGAACGTCCCAAGTCCGTGGATCAGGGTAGAGGCTCTCCCAAGTCACACAGCTGCAGAAGCTGGCAAGCCCAAGATCAGCACGTCGGAGAGCAGGGCTCCCACTCACAGGCTGTGCAGATTGACGAATCCCAGTTTGGGCAGATAAGCTGACAGCTCAAGTCCCAAGAACAGGAGATGAGATGACAGGAAGCAGCCGCAGAATCCAGAGAGAGCAAAAAGCCAGAACGTCTGCTTATATACAGATGCGGGCCACACCCCCAAGGAGACTCCCTTTCATCTGACTGGCTACTCACAGTATATTCAATCATGGGAGTGATTACATTAAAACACGGAGAATCATGGCCCAGCCAAGTTGACACACAATCTTAACCATCACAGTGTCCTTTTATAAAGTTTTCAATATTTTTGTGAAATTTTGTTCATTCTTCATTACTTCCTAGATATATATTTTGCTGCTATTGGGAGTTGTTTATTTTCTATTACATTTCCTAGGTGGCTTTTGATGGTATAAAAGAGTGTTAGTGTTATTGATTCTGTATTGACCTTAAAATCCATAACCTTGATGATCTTTAAGTTCCTTCTCTATCCGTGTATCTCTTATTCCTACCTTACTGCATTAGCTTATAATTCATGTTGGATTGTATTTTTCTATAGCACATATTTTGTTGTTTTTGTTCTTGACTTCAAAGGCAATGAGTCTAAAATTTCTCCATATATATATAATACATGCTGTGGGGTTGGGACATACATTCTTTATCATGTTAAGGGACTTTCCTTCTATTCCTATAAAATCCTAAATAGATACTAAGCTATAGAAAAAAAAATTCTGCATTTATAATTATGTGCTTTTCCCCTTTATCTTTTAATGTTTTAGATTGCATTGATAGATTTTAAACTCTGCACTTCTGAAAAACTGTACTTGATTATGATGTATTTTTCTTATTACATTGCTGGATTCAATTGGATATTTAGAATTATTGAATCTATGTTCAAAATGAAGTGAGCCTACATTTTTCTTTTGTTGTTCTCTAATTACTTCTATACTACTTATTGGAGCCAGCATAATTCCCCATGTAAGAAATTGGGTAGCTACCCTTTTTCATATTTTCTAGAAGAACTTGTTAATGTTTGGTAGAGATCTCCTATAAAACTATCTGGGCACAGTTGCTTTTAGGGTGAGGAAAGATCTACAAATGCCATTTAAATTTATTTAATGGCTATTGATCTAGTTTACTTTTGTATTTCTTGTTCCACTAATCTACCCATCCCCGAATCTGCAGAATTTCAGAGTTTGAAATTTATTGGTATACAGTTAATGTTTTATTTCAGTATAAATGTATGCTTATATTTTCCTGCTAAATTTTTTAATCACAACTTCTCTTTCAATTTACTAGTTAGTATTGCCAATTTTTTTTACCTCTCCTCCACTTTTTTTAATTTTAATCTTTTCAAGGGCTATGCTTTGGTTTTGCTGAACTTCTCATTTTTGTCTGCTATTTTTCCCTTTTATCTTCTGAGATTTATCCTGTTTTTTTCTTCTGTAGCTTATTGAGTTGAATACTTGGCTCACATTTTCTATTCTTTAATTGTATCACCTTCTGGAATAAGACAAGTATATTAGCTGACTCATACCTGCCTCTGGTGTCTTCCTCCACCTCCCGCGTGATATATGGGTATCATCTAGAATTGCAATTCTGGGTTGCTTTTGATTTGATTTTTATTGCTTTTGTTTAACTCCGTGGACATCTTGAATTTAGTTTCGCGGGAGAGGAGTCCAATGTTAATTTTAGCCTTTTCCCCGTTAAGTGCTTTTTTTCCCCCTCTAGAGCCCTTGAAAATCTTGTCATTAACCTTAAATTTTACTCTAATAGTTTATATGTGGCACCTTTTTCTATTGTGTCCTGTTTGTTAGTCCTTCATCTCTGAAGTCTTTCAGTGTCTCTCACCATGGGAAAGATTTGATCATTACAACCTCAAATATTTCACTGCCTGTGTATTTTCTCCTCTCCTTTGAGGTTCATTATACTATCAAGGGACAATATCATGTCTAGTTATGTTCTCCATACTTCTTATAATTTACTTTTACATTTTCCTTCTTTTCACTTACTGATACTTTCATCAGCTCAATTATTAATTGAGCTCTTCATTTCAACTGTTCTAGTTTCCATATGGAGCCCTTGTGGCACAGTGGTTAAGAGCTTGGCTGCTAACCAGAAGGTCAGCAGTTCAAATCTACCAGCCACTGCTTGAAAGCCCTATGGGGCAGTTCTACTGTATTCTATAGGGTTGCTATGAATCGGAATCGACTTGAAGGCAACAGGGGGGAGTTTCCATATAGAGCAGCACCAGCTGGCACTTAATTTTGACCTCTGGTTTCCATTTCATGTGGTGAGGGGCACACTCAAGCCACCTATTCTTCTGGCACCTGCTAACTTTTTATCCCATCCTAGCAAGGGTTGAGGACCCCTCCGATATTAACCAACTAACCTCCAGCTGGCACTGAGTTGCTGCCATTTCTCAACCTTGAAGAAGCAATAGGAGCGGGGGAACTCTGCACTGTTCTATTTCCCCTCCATGCTGCCCAGCACTCCTCTACTTTGGGTTACTATTCTTCACCAACCCCAAACATTGGGATCCAACTACCTTCTGCCACCCAGAGGGTCTCATAGTTTTTATCCCATTTTGTCAGATCCATCCACCTCCTTCTCATGTGTGTTTCATTTCCAGGGTTAAACATCTCGAAGGAAATTATCAGCACCCTTTTTAGGAGCATCGAGGCAGAGTGTATTTTGTAGGAATCACCTTCTCATTTTAGAAGGAAGAGAGCACCAGTGAGCTGGCCTCACAGGAGAATAAACTGGAGTCTTAAGAGGAAATTTAAGAAGAAATGATAGAGGAGAAAAAAGGCGAAGAGATCTCCCATGCTATACCCTGAAAGCCAGTAACTCCCAAGTTTGGACTGTTACTTCCAGGGGCTCTAAAAATACAAAAATGCCTCATTCTTGCACATTCATCCTTTCTTTCCTAGACTGCACACTCCCTTATGCTATAAAACAGACATACTTCCCTTGTTTCTAATTTTTAAGGCTCAGATTATTTTTCTCCTCTTTACCCCAGAGTCAACCTACCGACACCAAGCGACCATTGATGATGAAGTCGTTTCCATGGAGATACTAGATACCGCTGGACAGGTGAATAAAGACTTCAACTAAAATATCTTCTGAATCAAATAAAAATGACTCATATAATATGAACAAAATTAAGATACTTGCTTTCAATTAACTTTTGCACTAGATGATACCTAAATACTTTTTGATCTAGTTGTCTAGCCATTTTATATATTAACATATCTACAGACTTGTATATATCCTAAAATAAGAAAGCTTTGAAATACCACAATATTTACATGATATTGTCTAGAATAGAATTTTTCATCTATGTTTTATGAGACAGCAAGATTTTAATAGTTTTTCATGCTCAAATGTGTTTTGGAAATGCCCAGATAAGCAGGTGTCTTTACTAAAGGAGTTCTCAGAACCTTTAATATTCTAATGTGTAATATGAATCTTTGAGAGAGGTATAGTATATATTATATCCCAAACTTACATGACAATTGTAGACAATTAACCACCAGGGTCAGTATAACAGTGAAGAATTATAGAGAGTCAAATGCTAAGGCGGGTTGTTTGGTTTTGGGTTTTTTTGTTTTGTTTTTTTCCCCAAAAATACTTTATTCTAGGAATCTCTTAATATTCTTTCAACGTCTCACCAACGCAGCCTATTGAAAGTCTGAGTCATGTAATTAAACAACTTATTTTTAGAAAACTACTGTGAACTTGCTTTCAGGTTAGTCAGTTCTGAGATTACAAAGACATTCATATCCTATATGGATTTCATCCCCAAAGAGGAATGAGAGTTAGGAAACTAAAGGTTTCCCTGGTACTTTATCAGTGACATGTGACTCCAAGATGACTTGAATTAAATTATTTAATCCAAGAAAATTATTTAATCCAAGAAAAGTTCTTGCAACTAACTGTACACTTTTCCTTCTCATCACCACTTCCTTTCTATAGGAACTCTTAACATTCCACAAAGAACAGATTCTAAAGAGAGAGGCAGCAGGGAAGTACGTGCCTTGGCCTCCAGGATCATTTGAGCCCGTGAAGGCAATGCTTTTCCACTTCACACATGCTAGCTTCCTAAGGAGTGATCAACTCCTTTGAGAATCATTTCACATGAGTGTCATTATTGAGACTGCATAACATTTGGGGGGTGATGAAGTAGAAGGGAAAACAAAACCCTGCCTTAGCATTTGACTCTGTCTCTAATTCTAACCCTGTGGTTAATTGTCTAATCTGGAGAGAGAGAAGATTAAAAAAAAAAAAAAAAAAAAAAATCTCACTGGGCTAAATCACTGAGCTGTGACTAATTCTGATTCCTAAAGAGTGGGTTTAGAACAATCTGTTTGCTACCAGTTTATTAATTGTGATTAAAATTCTAAGGCAATATCTCAACTAAGATTATGGTTTCTTTATAGTTCTTGTGATTACTCATCCCAAGATATTTCAGGGAAATCTAAACAATGCTTCTATTCCAAACTGTTTGAGACTGTATGTCTGTACAGACATACATTCTCAAAGTAATTTTAATTACACTGAATTATGTTCTTTTTGTTAGGTGCCGTTGATTCGGTTTCAACTGATAACGACCACATTGAATATAAAGAATAGTAATGAAGGAGTCACGATTAGCATTAGCGACATCTACACATCACAATTACTTCCAGGTCTCCTGACTGCCATTTTTCTTTGCCCACAGGAAGACACCATTCAGAGGGAAGGCCACATGCGATGGGGGGAAGGCTTTGTGCTGGTCTATGACATTACCGACCGAGGAAGTTTTGAGGAAGTGCTGCCACTTAAGAACATCCTGGATGAGATAAAAAAGCCCAAGAATGTGACTCTTGTTTTGGTCGGAAACAAGGCAGACTTGGACCACTCCCGACAGGTTAGTACAGAAGAAGGGGAGAAGCTGGCCACGGAGTTGGCATGTGCTTTTTATGAGTGTTCTGCCTGCACCGGAGAAGGAAGCATCACGGAGATATTCTACGAGCTGTGCCGGGAGGTGCGTCGCCGGAGGATGGTCCAGGGCAAGACGAGGCGACGCAGCTCCACCACGCACGTCAAGCAGGCCATTAACAAGATGCTCACCAAAATCAGTAGTTAGGTAGCTCTGTCCCTGAGGAAGGGAAGCCCTGCTGAGGTAGGTCAGGTAATTGGAAACACTCTTTCATCCATTTCTTTCCTTCTCAAAATAAATCAAAATATTCCATTCCTTGTTTTGACTCTGGGAAATGTCTGGGCTTCCAACTGTTCCCAGCCTCCCATATATTGGGAGGTTTTAGAGTGTTTTATGCAATGGCAGTGCTGACAATTTCCCTCTTTCCTGCTTGAATAGATACACTTGAACGCAGTTTAAATATGCAGCTCCAAAATGGTTGGGTTCATTTTAGGCATCTTCACCTCACTTAAGTGGAAGTCTTTTCAAGGCATTTTTTAAATTCCATTTCTCATCAGAGACTATGAAATGAGTATCTTAACAGTCTAAGATAACAGAAAATACAGTAAAAACAGAGGAAAGGCAACTTCATTATTAGAGCAGTTATTCATTATTAGAGCAGTTATTAAAGCATTTGATAAAGCATTTGAAGTGAGGATTTTTCTGAATTATCTTAAATCATATACTTTATTTGGTTCTTCAATACAAACATGTTCTCACTAAGGTTTTCCTCTGTAATAGAGAGTCCATTTCGAGTTGCTTCTCTCAATGATCGATAGATCATTGCACTCTAATTAATTTTTCTACTTTGATTCAAACAATATTTTAATTATAACAACAAAGGCAGCAGCACCCCCTAGTCCAGACCCTATTAGGCCATTTCTCACCATCAGAGTGGTACCATCAGAGTGGTACAAAGACATTAGCGGTCTTTTCACCAAACCCTGACTATATTGAATGCTAGTAGAGGATTTAAAGTTAGAGATGCCTGCCTGATTAATTTCTCTCTCTGTGTGGAAAGACAAAATAGGAAACAAGAATGAAGTTTAACTACCCTTCCATTGGAGAGTCTAAGCTCTGTGTCAGGCACGGACAGAAAAATTAGCCTCGGATTCAGATTCATTGAGTTGACCACATGACTTCTTTCAATATTTTGGATAAATTAATTCGGTTAGGAGAGTTCAGAAAAGAATGGATGGTTAAAGTTCACTATACCTGAAAAAAATGCATGTAAAACAACAGATTTTTGTATTGTGAAAGTGTAGTATATAACTGATACAACTCTATGAGTCTTTCCTCCCTATTATACCCCTATATATCAAGATTTGGGCACTTTATTTTAGAAGAAAATATGTATCTTTTACATACATATGTATTTATAAATGCATAGATCTATGTATAGAATTTGTAAGAGTTGGAAGCTTTAATTCACCAATGCATTTGGACAACTTGGTGTAGCTGACTTTATTTTATGTGAATATAATAAAAAGCCTCATTTTCACATTCTTTCACCTCCTGGCAATCTTCTTGTGATAACATTAAGAGCTTGTAATTTTGGAAGCGAGGACAGTTGAATTGCAGAGTTGATGAATCAGTGACCCTGATATAAAATGAGCTCCTGTTCATAATAATAGCTAATATTTTTGGAGTACTTAGGTGCTATTTTAAGTACTTTATTATCTCATCAAATCCCCACAAAAACCCTGTATGAGAGATAGTACTACAACCATAATTATAGAGTTGAAGATACACCACAGGAAAAAAAGTAATTTAAGAAAAAAAAGTAACTTAACCAAGTTTGCACAGCTTATTTAGTGGTAGAGGCAAGATCTGAACCCTTAGAGTCAGACTCCAGAGCCCATACTATTATCCATTACAGTTCTGGTCCATTAGCTCTGAGGATGAAGACACAGAAACAGATAATATAGGGAAGAGTTGTTTCATTTATGCATGCATTCATTAACCAACAAATACTTATTGAGGCTCTCAATATATGTTGAATACATAACTTCACACAAGTTAGTCCATTTGATGAGTCTGAACCTTGAAGGATATACATGAGTTATCCAGGGGGGAAAAAAAGATGGTGAAAATATTCTAGACAAAGGGGATAGCAGAAAGAAGGAATTAAAAGAAGGAAAAAGAATATGGCGATAGGAGGTAAAATAAAATGTCAAAAATTCATATTTACACAAGTTTACTTAACTACTTATTAAAACACCAAGTAGGTAAAACTCAGCTGTGATTTATCTTCTGTAATGTAATGAGGTAGGGGAAATGGAAGCAGAGACTAAAGAAAAAAATTTTTTTTGCTATCTTCTAGAATCACAGTCTTTTCATTCTATCTTACCTACGCTTCAGAATATAGTTCAGCCAGTTCTTATTAAGATCAAGCTCCTCAGGAGGCGTTGTGAAATACCCAGGTGCTGCATTTGGGTCAAAACTAAGTGAAATGCACAGCCAGCAACAGCTTTCCTAGACATGTGAGTACAAATCCAGCCCTATTAAAAATCATCGACTCACCCGCCTAAGTACCAACTGGTAGTTACAGAAGCAGAACATGAGATTGCACCAGTATATATTAGTTATTCCTCGATGCTCCAGGCTTCTCCACAAATCAAGGTTATAAACAAGCTAATCCTGCTAAGTTGTTTGGAAGCTGAGCTTCATTTTCATGAATTCCGGTGAAGCAAAATTCACTTTGGAAAGGTAGGAATATGGTTTTATTTTCAGTGTTAATAGCATATCATTCGTCTGCTCATGAAGGAGTAAAGCAACTGGATTTACCCTCACACAAACAACTAGAAACTAGAAATAACTGATGAAATATATAAAACAATGTCTTTCATACATTGAACAACAAGGAAAATCCTATGATTGTGCCAGCTTACTTTCAGGTGGTAGGTTCCAGGAAACAGTGTAGGGAAGAGATACCCAAAGAGAACCTGGCAGTCTCACTGAGTTGAAGAGACAAAAATCAGAGTGTAGGGAGGCCAAGATGATAAGAATTCGTGGATAAATGCCAAGAAGAAGTGAGATACACAGAGAGAAATCTCCAGAGATCTCCAGAAGGGTTCCTTTTAGTCTTTGTTTGACTGGATTTGTGCATGGTAAGAGGAAACTACCAGAATTGGAGAATGAAGCATTGAAAAGTAGTAGGCCAAAAATTTGGGGAAATGCATATAGGGCTGAGAATAGTATTCCCACCTTATAATACACGGGACATCAGGCAGAGTTCTCAGAAGGACATAGTGTTAGATATGAGTCTAAATTAACCCTAAATCTGGTTTCTGCCCTAAAAAAGCATTAAAGTTTAAGTCGGAAAAAAATCAAACTGAGTCCAAGTAACTTGGCTGTACCAGAACAAAGTCTAATACGTGATTAAAAAAAAGTTTACAAAAAAATCTTCACCCAGCAGGATAAAAATTAAAATGTCTTTCATTCATTCAAAATTGACTATGCATGCAAAGAACCAGGAAAATATGACCCATAAATAGAAGAAAAATCAATCAATAAAAAGATACTAAG